TAGACTGAAGCAGCAGAGGCTGCAGTTTCCCAGTGAGGACTCTGGGCGCCGCTGTTGGCCAAAGTGGAGAGCTTGGCGCGCCCCATCTCCTCGCGCAGCCGCATCGCGCTCTTCCAGGGCAACCCCAGCTCAGACTCCCCAGAGCTAGCTTTTACACCGCTTCCTCCTCGGAACAAGAATCTTTTCCTGGACTGGAACTGGAACTAAAGTCCGCTGGGAGCTCCGGACATCTGCGATACAGAGATTATTTGTACCCCGGCGTCTCCAGGCTGGTAAGCGGGCTGAGCAGAGCAAGAGGGATGGGGAGCGGCGCCGGGGAGCGGGGCCGGGCTGGCGGGCGGCCAGTGCTCTTTCCCTTCCTGCTGGCTTTGTTCTGCCCCGCGCTCTCGGAGCAGATCCGCTACAGGATTCTCGAGGAGATGCCCAAGGGCTCGGTAGTGGGGAACCTCGCCAAGGACCTGGGCTTCAGTGTCCAGGAGTTGCCGACTCGAAAACTGCGCGTCAGTCCGGAGAAACCTTACTTCGCCGTGAGCGCAGAGAGCGGGGAGCTGCTTGTGAGCAGCAGGCTAGACAGGGAGCAGATATGCGGGAGGAACCCAGCTTGTGCTCTGGAATTCGAGGCTGTTGCTGAAAATCCCCTGAACTTTTATCACGTGAATGTGGAGATCGAGGACATTAATGACCACACGCCGAAATTCGCGCAAGATTCCTTTGAGCTGCAAATTAGTGAGTCTGCACAGCCGGGCACTCGATTTATCTTAGGATCTGCCCATGATGCAGATATTGGTACCAACTCACTGCAGAATTACCAACTCAGTCCAAATGATCACTTCTCGTTGATGACTAAAGAGAAATCGGATGGCAGTAAAAACCCGGAGCTGGTATTGAAGACACCCTTAGACCGGGAAAAGCAGAAATCCTACCACTTGACTTTGACGGCCCTGGACTCTGGAGATCCACCCCTAAGCAGCACTGCACAGATACAGGTCCTGGTGACTGACGCCAATGATAACCCTCCAGTGTTCAGTCAAGACATATACAGGGTGAGCCTTCCAGAAAATGTGTATCCAGGAACCACCGTGCTTCAGGTGACTGCCTCTGACCAGGATGAGGGTGTCAATGCGGAGATCGCTTTCTCTTTCAGCGAAGCTAGCCAGATCACACAGTTTGACCTGAATTCTAATACCGGGGAAATTACTGTTCTGAATACATTAGATTTCGAAGAAGTTAAGGAATATTCCATAGTTGTGGAAGCTAGGGATGGTGGAGGAATGATTGCACAATGTACAGTGGAGATAGAAGTCATAGATGAAAACGACAATGCCCCGGAAGTGATATTCCAATCTCTACCAAACCTCATTATGGAGGACACCGAACTGGGAACACACATTGCTTTGTTCAAAATCCGCGACAAGGATTCCGGCCACAACGGAGAAGTTACTTGTAAATTGGAAGGTAATCCTCCGTTTAAGATACTCACTTCTTCAAGAAACACGTATAAATTAATGACAGATGGGGTTCTAGACCGCGAGCAGAACCCAGAGTACAATATCACCATCACAGCCACCGACCGGGGTAAGCCTCCCCTCTCCTCCAGCTCAAGAGTCACCCTGCACATCGGTGATGTCAACGACAACGCTCCTGTTTTCCAGCAGGCCTCCTACGTGGTCCACGTGCCTGAGAACAACCCTCCTGGGGCTTCTATCTCACAAGTCAGAGCTTCGGACCCGGATTTGGGACCCAACGGCCTTGTCTCCTACTCGATCGTGGCCAGCGATCTGGAGCCCGGGTCGCTGTCGTCCTACGTGTCGGTGAGCGCGCAGAGCGGCGTGGTGTTCGCGCAGCGCGCCTTCGACCACGAGCAGCTGCGCGCCTTCGAGCTGACGCTGCAGGCCCGCGACCAGGGCTCGCCCGCGCTGGGCGCCAACGTGAGCCTGCGCGTGCTGGTGGGCGACCGCAACGACAACGCGCCGCGCGTGCTGTACCCCGCGCTGGGGCCCGACGGCTCCGCGCTCTTCGACACGGTGCCGCGCGCCGCGGAGCCCGGCTACCTGGTCACCAAGGTGGTGGCGGTGGACGCCGACTCGGGACACAACGCCTGGCTGTCCTACCACGTGCTGCAGGCCAGCGAGCCCGGGCTCTTCAGCCTGGGGCTGCGCACGGGCGAGGTGCGCACGGCGCGCGCTTTGGGCGACAGGGACGCGGCCCGTCATCGCCTGCTGGTCGCGGTGCGTGACGGAGGACAGCCGCCCCTCTCGGCCACCGCCACGCTGCACCTGGTCTTCGCAGATAGTCTG